CGCGGAGCTTTTTTTGTATTGTAGCACACCGAAAGATTCAACTGTCCCGTTCTGCAGCCGTTTTGCACTAGTTCTGAGATGGTTCTGAAATGCATGGGGCGTAATTAGCGCTTTGTCAGACTGTCTTTAAATTTTACTACAGGGAATGCACTAATCGAGTTCTGTGGTGTTTAGTTTGTTCCAGTAGTCTTCGGATAAAAACCTAAGGAACTTTCAAACAACAATTTCTCTCTCTCAAGTGAGAATAAAAGGAGAGTAGATGCAGTATAGTGTATGGGAACACAAAAAGCACTTTTTCGTGCACAAACGTCAGTCGATTTTTTTACATGCCATTGGAGCTAATTCCACAAAATTTATACTAGGTGTATTCACGATTTGGTGCATACTGCCTAGCATGGTGCATAGATAGCACGATTGGCCAATTTTGTTGTTGTTTGAACACATGAAACAACAACAATCATGCTATTTATACTATCTATGCACCATGCTAGACCGTATGCACCGGATCGTGAATACCCCTACTATGTCTTACTATGTCCTGGAGTACTGGAACAAACTAGTTGATTGAAATTCAACATTTGAAAGCACATTGAAATATATGTCTGGCTGTAGCTGAGTGCGCAAATACGATTGCCTCAATTTGTTGTTTTCCAGAGGGTCAGGTTTCGAATTCCATTGCAGGCAATATGCAATTTTTTTTTTAATCGTTATTTTTAAGTTCACGGATGCTTTCTCAAAACGAAAACGAATTGAATATTTAGCACTATATAGTACTTTCGTTGACGTTTATAGTAAAATCAACTATGTTTCTATTTGATTTTACTATTTTTTCCTCAGTGTATGGACTGTAGCAATTGAGATTTTAAATAACGTTTGTGCTTTTGAAAAATTCACTGTTTCAAAGTGCATGTTATGATTATACAAACTTAACATATTGCGCTTTTTCGTGAGGTGTGACTTTTTCTGTCCGCTTTCCTCCGATATGATATACATATGTATATGTATATCTGATAAAAGGGTGTTATATCTTCTTTCATTTGGTTTATGAACTGTCTGCTTCAACTGACTCCTGTTTGATAAAATTACTATTTTCAGACGTCATCAAAGTCGAAAATTAACAAAACTTCGAAGTGTGGATGGACCGGAAGTCTATTTTTTAATGGGACATACGTGCTTCGGATTCAGCGGACAAAAATAGTTAACTTTTCTCTGGACTGGACTTCTGGTTAAAATAATGGACTTCCGAACTGTTTAAGCCACTTCCGGTTGAAACCGGTATATGCGCGGTGGTTGTGGTTATGGGCTGGTTTCGCTGATTTTCAAACCAACGTCTTTAAAAGATTATAAGAAGCAAGTGTACCTTATTTCAGCCAAAACGCAATGACCGGATCTAAGAAAAATTAGTATGGGAAATAAAATTATAGAAATCGGTTAACGGGGTTCAAAGTCAAAAAACTTCTGGGCATATTCGAGTTAAAAACTGCTAACTCCAATTGTTTTATTGTTATTTTATTGTGACACGAAATACAGGCTGCTGACTGCTTTTTGCATTTATAACTTAAACCTTTAGCGAAAAAAATAAGGTCAATAAATAAGG